TGGTGCTTTTGAACCTCCTTTGAAGAAGGCATTTAAATTCATTTGCTACATTTCTGTGCCCCACAAGAGCCCTGGAGCTAAAGAACTAGAAAGAAAAAGATGCTGTAATGATCACATTTATTTAGATAATCAATTTACTGGATATGGCAGCCCAACTGACAGATTGTGACTTTGGGTGGCTTACACAGAAGTAAAACAGAAAAAACAAGAACTAGATAAAACAACAGAAAACAGAAGAAAATGAAGCCAAACCAAAGTTATAAATCATTGAAAAATGCTTAAATACCTTGGCCCTAGAGGAACAGACAGTTTTTCAGTGTTAATTGGTGCACCAAGATGACTTCTCAAGTCCAAGACTATCCCTAAATGGAAGGTCACTAGAACTGGAAGCCACAGCAACTTGGTCTTGCTAGGATTTTGCCGAGTGCGTGTACTTGCGTGTACATTGTATATCTTTCATTTAGTGGGATGCAAGCAACAGTATGTTGGCATGCAAGCTAGTCTCTTAGACTTTAGATAACTTAGCTTGCATCACATAGCATGTACGCATTTGGTGTAAAATGGCTTTGGTTACATTTTTTTTTTTAGAAAGACCAGTAGAGTGGTAGAAGTGAGTTGTTATGGGCTCATCTAGTGACAAAATATGTTAGATTGTGACTTGGGATATAAGAGTAAATGCTAAAGAGCATGGAGTAATTGATTAAATGAAAGAAGCAAATATAGTATGTTACATGTCTGTGAAACTAAGGGCTTATCTACACTGCCGAGTTGCCCTGTTACTAGGCACTTCTGTCTGCTTTGGCTGGTGTCCTTTAATACGAATCCCAGCAGCTCACTGACTACATCTTAAAGATAAGAGTGGCCCTCGCAGCTGAATCAGTGATTCCAGAACAACCTTCACCAGGAATCCTACAATACTTCAATGTTTATAACACTGTTAACAAATGTTGTAGAAGGTTGCTGGTTTTTTAAATTACTGTTTTGTTTCCCTGAGTTATTTATATTTCCCTGTGAGTTTTAAAATGTTGTAAGGCTGCAACATTTTTCATTTTTCCAGTCACTTAGGGTAGTAAGATTTAACCCTCAGGTCCAAAGGGGTGCTTTCTACTTCATGACTGTAAAAATGACGAAACTTCTATTAAAGCATTCTTGCTAAAATTCACTCTAAAGGATGTTGGAGACCAAAGGAATAGTAAGAATTTATTTTAAATCTGGTTGTTGTGTCTGTATAGGCATTTCGATACTTTAACTTCATATTTATCAATTCTGCCCATCTTATCTGTCTTCTATCTATCATATACAGTATGTCTAGTAAGACCTACCCAGAAAAAGGAATTGGAATCTACTTTCCTAGAACAGGAAAAATGGGAGTTAGCACTGCAGCAAAAAATTGCCAAGGGAAGGATGTGGTAGTATCAATACCAGCAGATTGATAAATGTCTCATTCTGGACAGGATTTTCTTAAACCAAACAAAAATCAAGGAGTGAATGAAGATAATCTAATATTCTGGAGTTGATGAATACATGCAGTGGAGATATAATGACAAATGAAAGCTAAAATCTATGTCAGAAAGGGTGAATTGCTGTAAAGAAATGTTATACATACTTATGAAATTAAGATTCTATATGTTGACAATAGCTGTAGGTTACATTCTAATGAATGATGTACACACCAGCGATGAGCGTTAGTAAAATCATGCAATGTTCTGAATGAGAAAAAATGATTTTGTTGGGTAACATCAATGGATGGGTTTGAACAAGGTGAGAGAACACAAAAACAAATTAGCAATTCATAGACCTAAGAACAAACGAGAATGGTGACTAGTGTCTGCTTAGAAAAATATGTTTCAAATATGTAGTTTAAATATAAGTTTATTCATGTGCAAACATAGCAAAAAATGATTATGATGAAAGGTTAAGAGAATTAGTAAAGAATGCAAGGATGTAGACATATTGTGTTTATGAAACTACCACCATTTTTGAATAGTGTAAAAATGGATTTGAGGGGAAAAGAGAACTTAATGGGGAAAACCCTAAAATAAAATATGACTGAAACTAGAATGAACACAGTAGGATAATAAGTCCTCCATGAAAAATATGAATGATAAGATGAAGGGATCTAGACACTGGAATAGAATGAAAACACTTAAGTTGAAGGATTAGGCTAGGGGCAGACTGTCATGGAGAAAATGTGTCTATCTGGCTGATAAAGAGTTGACACTCACTTGATGGCACATAAGTAATCAATCATTGAGTGCTGCAGAAGTATGTGATGTAATGCTAATAGGTAGTATAAAAATGTAGTCGATAAACTTCATAATGTGAAAAAAGAAATATAGTTGAAAAATGCAGTCAGAGAGAGCAAGGAGCATTCAAGAATGAAAGAGGAGAGGAAAAGCTTTGATGGAACTAAAAAGATTACTTTAGAAGTGGGTGAAAATGGCCAAATACGGACCCTCAAATAGAATAACAAAATAACAGAGTTGGAACGGACCTTGGAAGTCTTCTAATCCAACCCCCTGCTCAAGTAGGAAACCCTATACAATTTCAGACAAATGGTTGTCCAATCTCCTCTTAAAAACCTCCAGTGTTAGAGTACCCACAACTTCTGGAGACAAGTCATTCCACTGGTTAATTGTTCTAACTGTCAGGAAGTTTCTCCTTAGTTCTAGCTTGCTTCTCTCTTTGATTAGTTTCCATCAGTTGCTTCTTGTCCTGCCTTCAGGCGCTTTGGAGACTTAGGTGGAGAAATAGAGTGAAATGATTTGAAGTGATGAAATGCTCTAGCATGAAACTAAATCAGATTTAGTCACATGTTTTCTTATCTTGAGGTTTTAATTTGGGAGACCTCACTATTTCTTATTTTACACACTGCATAATGTTTCTTATGCAGGTAAAAAATGTATGATGAGTATGTATGTACATAGTACGTAATGGAGGGTCAGTTTTCATCCTTCAGCGGAGGCCTAAATAGCTACCAAGATGAACTGGATGCTGCAAAATGTGTCTGTTGGGAAAAAGGATAAAATACCTGGAAAAGCATATTCAGCCAAATGTAGCTTTAATTTCAAAATACTGAAAGCTAACCCAGGTGGGTGTTGCCATGTCATTCTCAGTATTTATCTTGCTTGTTTCTGCTGTTGGTGCAGAACACAGGACCTGAGCAGGTTAGAATCAGAATCTGGCCTTCATCCACAGGATTGCTATTTTTAATAACTGTGCTATGCACAGGAAGGACCAGAGAAATCCATGGACAGTACTGAAACTCGAATAATTAATGCTATCTTAAATATGTCTTTTGATTTGAAAATAAAACTACAAAAAAAGCAATTTACATGTAAAATTGCTGAACTCTGAATCAATAATAAAAACATGCAAATAAAACTAAAAAAATCACGTCAATGTGTACTTAACATATGTATAGATAGTGGCTGACTTACAAACATTTGTTTAGCGACCAGCTGAAGTTACAAAGGCACTGAAAAAAATGAATTACAACTGGTCCTTACATTTATGACCATCGTAGAATCCCCACAGTCATGTGATTAAAACTTGGGTGCCTGGCAACTGGCACGTATTTACAACAGCTGTAGTGAACTGGCTCATGTGAGATCATCATTTACAACAGGGATAGTCAACCTTGGCTCTTTTAATGACTCGTGGACTTCAATTCCCAGAATTCCTGAGCCAGCTTAGCTGGCTCAGGAATTATGGGAGTTGAAGTCCACGAGTCATAAAAGAGCCAAGGTTGACTACCCCGATTTACAACCTTCATAGGGGGCTTCTAACAAGCAAAGTCAATGGGGGAGGCTAGACTTAATGACTGTGATTCGCTTAACAATCATGGCAAAAAAGGTCATAAAATTGGGCATGTCTCACTTAATAACTGCCTCACTTAGCAACAAAAGTTACAATCCTAATTAAGGTCATAAGGTGAGGACTACCTGTAATTTTAAAATCTTATTAACAAGTAATTGCTTGAACTATAATTCCTAGGCACTAAATGACATGACATTCATGTGTTTCAACACCTACTTTCCCATATACACATGAAAAAAAAATCAGCCTTTAATTGAATTATTCAGTATGAGATAGCCTTAACTTTACTATAGTACTATCTATATTGAGACTTGAAGCAATACAGACTAGAACTGTTAAAAGATTTAAGCAACAGAAAATTTGCAGAAAACTAATAAGTATCACTATTGCATTATAAAATTCTGTTTTATCCTGCACATATCAATATTGTAAAAATAAATGCTCCAATTGTAGGTTATGTTAAGTATTGGTATACATTTGGATTAAGCTGGACCTCATATTCCTGTTAGAAGCAATATGCCATGGACTGAATCAAACAAGGCTAAGCCTTCACCAAGAAGCAAACCACACAATGGGGCATTGTAAATTATTCAACTTGGGAGCATGCTAGAGAGCAGATGTCATTTTGCAAAAAATTACCACCATTTAAAAAATTCTGAATCTACCTCCCCAGAAGTTTTAAAAATTAGCAGTAATAGTTTTAAAACCTTTAGATCAGATATGTCGTGTGACGTATCGGAGCTTTTTTGCCATTGCTGGCAATGGGGTGGGCACGGCTCCGGTATGATGAAACCGGCCCGCGGGCCAGCAGTTTAACACCCCTGCTTTAGATGCTACTAAAAATTCCATCTGAATCATTCTGCTGGACAGATTACAAAAGTGAAGGGATTGGGAGGAAATCAACTGATAAGACAGGACAGATCTTGACTCCCAAATATGCATTCATATGTTTCCCTACCTACACATTCACCTGCATGTATTTAGTTATAACATTGGTCATACCAAAAGTCAGAAAGTCTGTAAATGCAACCAAAAACAGCTGAAAAGATTTCTTGATATTATTTCCACACTGCTCAACCATAGCTTTGCCAAAAAGCATGATTGTGGTGCACTCAGTTTATAAACAGAAAGCTACCTAATTTTATAAAAATAAATTCAATCTGGTAGAAAAAAATAGCAATATTAAATAACAGATTCCGATTCTTTGCTAGGTTTCTCAAATGAGTCCGACATGGGGGGGCTTCTGATTTCCAGCATTTTTTCTGTGGTTTCTCCATTCACAGGTGTAGCTTGTTCTTTGAGTTTCCTCTTTGCATGCACCCATGGGATAGCACATAATATAGCTCCTCCAACAATAGGTGGAACTCCTGCTAGGTAGAATGCCACATCGTATGTGCCGAAATGATCCCGTAATTTTCCTGGAAAAAGAAAAAAAATAACACTAAGATTAACACTCAAACAAGCTAGATAGCTAGATTTTTCAGCAGCTTTTTAAAATGTGTCAATACTCCTAAGTTCACTATACCTACAATAATCATCCAACCGAGGTCTTAATAAAATATCTTGTAGCTTAACAAAGCATTTCCTTTCTTCAAAAGTAGCCTCAGAAAGGGGAAAACTGCTATTGGATCATACACAACTTGTGCTCAGGGAATTTATATTGGAAGTGATTTTCTCCAATTCCCCTTGTAGTAAATATTTTTATGCCATTCCAAAAGAAAGAATAAGAATAAATAAGGAGAAATTCAGAGTTCTGTTTTCTCCAGCAAGAAGCCTTTACTAAATCCTGGTTCTTCACTGATGGTGATTTTGTCAATGCCGATGATGTTCAAGTGTTGTTCCAGTTGTTTTGGAATTGCTCCCAAGGCATCTGTTACTGCTGGTACTACCGTCACTTTCTCATTATTATTATTACGGTTGATCTGGATTTGGCATTTTTATCAACCTATCAAATCCTTTCCAAGGATTTAAGATAAGCAGATGTTGGAAGGTGATGATGATATATAAATGTATTGTGGCCACCTAATCTAAAGAACTCTGGGCAACTTACAATGTATTAAAATACACAGTTAAAATTAAAAACATAACAGCAGTATTATTACTTGATATGCTTTTTACATATTTAATTAAACATTTCTGCCTACCTGCAATAGGTGGGCCAACTGTCATTGGTATAGACATCAAGCCCAAAAGGAATCCAATTGCTTCAGAAACACGATGTGCGCCAACTAACTCAAAAGCAATCGGTGCCATGATACTAATGAAGCATCCATCAAAAAGGCCCATGATAAGGCAGACAACAATAAGAGCTTCAAAGGAATTGCATAATGGGATCATCATAGACATCAGGCCAATTAACAAAAAGGATATCACCTATACAAGAGGAAAGGAAAAACAGGGAAGGAATTCTATTATTGTATCCATTACAAGTGATTTTTCCCCCATAAAAATGAATAAAGTTTTATCCATCGCTGGTAGCACTACCTAGGTCAAGCTTGGTTGTTCTTAAACAAACAAATCTAAGCAGGATCTGACATAGTTATACTTAAAATTCCTTATATTCCCCAATTCAAGGACATTCCAAAGTAGTAAAGTAAACTAGGGAGTAAGAAAATTATAATTACTACTATAAAGAAAGTAATACCAAACTACTTTTCATTGTTATCAAGAAAACTAAATTGATGTGTCTATATAGTAATCAGAAGTCTATTTGACTTAGGAAAGTGTCCTTTTATTTAATTGTATCCACTTGCTGATAGAAAGTTCTTCCATCAACAGATTAAGATATCTGTGAACAAGGTAGATGATTTTCACATTCCTTTTTTCTCAGCAAAGCCCTCCGACAACTTTCAATGTGTTCTCCAGACACCTCAGGGCATCTTTGGAAGATTGCGTGTGCATTGCCAGAGAAAGAGAAATTAATTAGCATTTACTCTCTTTGTTTCACATGGAAGCCAGTACTGGAGCAAAGGGCCTTCTGTGAGTTGAGGGACATCATTAAAAACATATTTTGGTTAATTATTTATTGTAAAGTGTCCAAATGATTATTTGCAACACTACTGTTACAAAGGCATGGCATAACTCTATGATGTTTTTGAGGGCTAGTCTCTTCTTAGGCATAAAAGCCGGCTGGGTGACTGGGCCAGCCACTTGCTCGCTCAGCCCAACTCACCTCACGGGATTGTTCTTGTGAGGAAAATAGAGGAGGAAGGAGTATGATGTATATCTGCTGTCTTGAATTATTTATAAAAAATAAATGTGGGATATCAGTGATCCTTGCTTAATGACCGGTTGCTTAGCAACCGTTCAAAGTTTGGACGAACCTCCACAGAGCTACTTATGACCTGGTTCCAGAGTTCTGAAGGCCACACACACTCCGTCCTGCCCCTTCAGTCCAATGACTACACTTAGGGTGCTTGGCAACCGGCTCACATTTAAAGCTGTCACTGCAATATCCTGCAGTCACAATTTTTACATTTCTGGTGTTTTCTTCCAGTTTCCAGCAAACAAATTAACGTGGCTTCACATAATAACTGTGACATTTGCTTAATGACCACTGCAGAAAAGACTGTAAAATTGGGTGTGGTCATGTGGTGACCTGCTTAACAACCAATACATCTTATGACTGTAATTCCAGGCTCAATTGTGGTTATAAGTGAAGGGCTGTGTGTGTGTGAGAGAGAGAGAGTAAATCTCATGGAACAACTGATAATTCATCCAGATGTGTGGCCGGCAACATCATTCAAATGCAGGACATCCAGCCCTTTCCTTTGTTTCCGCTGGTTCCGCTGGGTGACAACTATAGAAGGTGACATTCTGCCCACTTGGAAGGTTATCAGGACAGATTGTCCTCCTCTCAGCAGTGGGAACGCCAAAACATTATCTACAGGAAATTTTGTAATAGATGAGATTCAAAGTTGGAAAATCATCAATTTCAAGAAGGGTGTGCAATTTCCTTTGAATAAGTTAACATTCCCTCTAAAAAAGCAAGGAAGCAATTTGGAAATGCTCTTACGCTCCACAGTTTTACTGAAAATTGAAATGGCAGTGGCCACAAGGCCAGGGATTTTTTTCCCATTCTTAGCTGCTTTGGTAACTGGATTTTCCCTAGAAAAGAACCAGGCCTTGCCTTAGCGATTTATGCTGTGTTACTGGCTTATGTTCTTTTTCCTTTTAAGACTGGGTTGATGAAATATGTTCTTTGCGAGACTGCCTTAAAAGATATTTTAGAGTGTTTAGGTAGAGAATGCAGAAGGTTGCTTGTGGGGACTTGGCAAATGCAAAAGGTTACAGTTAATCTGTAGAAACTGCATTAGCTGAAGGTTGTCTCCAGGCCCAATTTAAAAACCTGCTTTTAGCCTTCACAGGCCTAAATAGACAGTATGAAGATCTGCCTAATCCATTCAGGCATACTCCTCTGTGTCAATCAAACACAGAACAGCCCATCATTAAGAGAGGTCTTCTTAAAATTTCAGACTGTCTTTTATTACAAGGTCTCAATTCTTTACATATTTTAAGAATGTTCATTTTCTTTTGTTAAATAATAAGATTCTATTACATTGTTTGTTCATGTACTCTATGAGGATATTAAAATCCTGAAAAGCACCTTATTAATCTTAGACATAATGGTTGTCATAATGATAGGGATAATTAATATACCAGTAATTTCTACTTTCCTGGGGAGTAATTATAAAAAATAATCTCTCCATTTCCCTTGAATCAATCTCAATTCCTGTTAACTGTATGGTCATATCCAGTCATGGTTTGCTGTCACCTTATCTTGGGTTGTTTAGCACAATATCCTAATCTGGCCTAATAACTGGATATATCCTGCCAGTTTCCATTTAAGTTCTAAGCAGATGTGATTTTGTTTAGTTTTCTCAAGATTAGTTACGGTCAGCTAAATGATGCCACCCGGTGTGACCACAACAGCATTAAAAGAAAGAGTAATTTTCTGCTGAACTCATCCAAACTTAACACGCTGCCCAAGCAGTGTGTGCCAGCCCAAGTCCAGTATTCTGTCCATTGTCCCATGTTGTTTCTTGTAAGTTTCATTACTTGCGGATAAAGTAAGCATGCCTACATTTGACTTTATTTTTTAAGAAAACACTTTATACATTACATATAAAACGTGTGCTGTGCTAATATTAAGATATTGGGTTTCAAGATTTCTGCTAGGCAAAGGGTCCGTCATTGTTGATCTAATCTTCTTTTGCTTATATCTTAACAATGAAATATATAAAAAAACTTCAAATGAAAAACAGTGAATGCCTTCTTCCTGTTAGGTGAAACTCCAGTGAACCAACCATCTGTGTCTTCTTAATCATTTAGCTGAGGAAATGTTTACTCAGCCTTGAAAAGCGGGATAAAAGGGATCAACTTAATGCCCTGTCTTACAAGTGATCTTGCTGGGGCATAAATATAAAAGTAAGTCTTTATATTTCTATTACATTTTCTACAGGAAACAGACTTCAGCAGAAACCACTGCTGCCTTTCATTGCTCCATCACATTTGTTTTGCAAAGGCAGACCTCATGACCAGAACCACAATGAATCTCACCTGACCCTGGACTGCAGAAATCCAAGCTACATGTTTGACATTTCCCCAATTCCTGTATCCACAAAGACATGGAGGGCATTCACTGATTTCTCAGTATTGTTTTAAACTAAACTAGTATTGTCTGTAAACTTAAGTAAATTGCTGTAAGATAGGTCTAAAGGTCTCTCTGCAACCTGAAATCTGAGCCTTTCTCCTTTTTTAGTTCTCTTGCTCTTTCCAGAAATGGGATAGTGAAGTTATTAACATGAATTGAATGAAAGCTTAGACATTAAGACAAGCATTTTCAGTTATTTTCTATGTAGGAAAGATACTTTGTTCTATGGAGCATGTATTTCTCATTGTTAGGGCAACCCTGAACAATATTTATAAATGTTGGTCATGCAAGCAATAATTGGGAGGCTTCTATCCCATTTATTTATTTCTTATCCCAGTTTGGTAAGTATGATGGTTGAGAGTGTTCTTGCCATGATGATAAATTTAGTTGGAATCATGACAAGAACAGGTCTAATGCAAAATATGATAAGAAAGAAAGGACAGAAGTCTGATGTCATAAATGTTCAGAGTCTGTCCTTTCCTTGAATAAAAGCTTATCATTTGCAATCCATTAACTAATCTTAAATGTCACAGTATATGTGAAACTATAGAAGACTACTACAGCTATGAAATGCACTATATTTACTCTCTGAGCTAGGCTAGGCTAGGCTATATATGTATAGTTATTTCAATGTTCATTCTGAACAACTCTCTTTAAGAAGTGCTTCTTTAAGAAGTGACTTTAAAAAAATCAATACTTTGTCTCTAGAAAAAGGAATATTTTGCCAAGGTTTGTATCATCTGAATTGATTAGGGCATATTGGCTGAAGTCTGCAGCATCACTGGTGCCAAATACCAAGTTTTTACCTGACATTACTATTTTGTGAACTTTTAAGAAATTCCTTATGTAGATAAGCAGCGAGCAGCTATACAAAGAAACACAAATAACCCACTCAATCCTTAAAAAACAACAACTTGAATTCACACAAATAAATATTCCTATTCCAAACTTTAGGTCTCGCTCTTGCCTAAATAGAAGAAATGTAATATAGTAATTGTATACATCAAAAATGATGTTCAATTGAAAATATGTGGCATCTGACAATATCTCTGCCAATTTTCAGTATTCAGTATTGCTTATCTATAGATTTAAATATTTAAAACATGCTATTGATGTAACATGCTGTTTTCAGAAGCATTACTTCATGGATATTATTGGTGAGAACTATGCCTACACAAAACTATCTCAGATCTCCTGGACTGTTCTTGTGCCACTAAATACTTATCAGCAGTTCAGTGGTCTTTAGATGCCAGACATAACTCTGCAAAAGTTATGCACGTCTGATAATATTAAGGACAGCAAATATAGAAAAAAATCCACCAAAAGATACATATTATTGGTCTGAAACATCTAGAAATATATTATTAATGCATTTTATATCATTTATCTAGCAGTACCTGTAGATAAACCTTTTTTGCACCAGGAATATAATCTGCAATTTTGCCAAAGATCAGTCGACCAATTCCTGAAGTAATGCCAAGACAAAGCAGAAGTGTCACATCTGGAACATGTTCACCAATACGTTCTTTCACATGTTTTAGCTATTTGGAAGGAAGAAAAACAGGATTTTAATATAACAAAAAATCTAACAAGTAATACTTTAGTTTAACATCAGCCATATTTTAAAATTTTACAGTATTACATTTGTACACATTGTTTAAACAATCATATCTCAGCTTTATAAATTGGTTCACTAATGTTCCTCTTTTGTTCTATTTGTGATGTAATCAATGGAATGCAGAACCAGCTTCAAATTACGACTTAGCTTTGTACTGTAGCCAGTCATAATATCCTATTCTGACTAATTAGAGATTTCTTAGTTTAATAACAGCCCATATAAACAGACAAACAAATAAACAGCACTCATTGATAAAATACTTGTTTATATCTCAACTTATTAAATCAAGATAAGGTTGAAAGGATGTAGCTAAGCTGTTCTCATTTATAAAAATCATAGAACCAACTCACAACGGATACAATATCTGCATATACAAATGTAACTAAGTCATACTGGATTCAGTTTCCCAAAGTTGGTTGGTTTCAATCATATAACTGCCAGACTTGGACTTGGAAAAATATAAGAACTGGAAAACCCATGGATTTCTTAAAAGGGGTAAAAACAAGTCTTACAGCTACACTTTGTAACCTTTATAATCAAAAGCTCAAGTAATAAGAAAAGCAGCTATGAACTGCTGCTATATTTGCAGAATGTCTTCCATGAACCAACATCTAACCAATGATAATTCTAACACCATCATTTGTAAGCTGGAAAAATACAAGTAAGTCAGTGAATATTCCACTCTGTGTTATGCAGCATAATTATGGTCCTAACCAAATTTTTACTGGGCAAATGTGTGAAAGGAAAATGAATGCAGGGTTCTTATCCAGCACCTGTGTCAGAGAGAGACTGGCTGAGGCAGGGGGAGGAGTCAAGCAGGGAATTAGTCTGGAATCCTTATGTAGGCACAAAAGGGCAAGGTGTGACCCCCCACACACACACACACCTGAATGCCATTGAACCTTATCTAGTCTTTTCTAACTGCAGGCTGCCAGTCTAGAAAATTCCTGTGAAATGGGCATGAGCAATAAAGTAGTTAATTGAACTCTTCAGATGTGGATCTCATTGTTCAAATCTGATCACCCGTTAATTCATGAGAATCAAATTGTTTTTGTTCAATAAAGGCAGGAATATGTTCAGAAAAATAAACAAGGACAAAGCTATGTGTAGGTATAAAACACTTTATACAAGAAAAGTATCTAAACATTAAACTTAAGAGTATCAAAAGAGTCAAGAAGATGTGAAATTATTCTTAAATATTGTATGAGTTTAAGAACTATTTAAATTTAAAGGATCAAAATTAAAAATAGGAAAGCATTATACTGCACGTATCACAAATTATTGGACAGTTCAGACAAGAAGGCCTTTAAAGCTATATAAACAAAATAACCAGAATTCTCATTCATCTCACAAACCCATTTTAACTGAAAGGTTAAAGAGACTAATCAATAAACCCCACTGTTAAAAATTATCTTTTAAATGTTCATTTTATTCATACTGCTATTTTGATTTTTTTTAAAAAAAAAACTATAAAAGGTCAAAGTTTTAGATCATATTAGCTTTACAAAACACAGTAATATTGTTGAAAAGTAGAACTGTTAGTATGTAAACATGCAAACAACTCTTTCTATTGACAGGATTTGTGCTTTTTTAAAACCATAAGAAATTCTTTTAATCTCTTGCTAGTACAGGAGAAATTAAACACTATAATGTTCTTAATGTTTACAGGAAGAAGTGATCTATAATATCAAAGAATAGTATTTTCTTTTTTTTTCATAAATGAACCATCTGGCGCAAGCCATAGGGTTACTTAAGATCTTTTCCACTACTTAGTTGAGAAGCTCTTTACTCAACTTTAAGTCTGCAGAAAGATGAATTGGCATGAAATTGGCTACCCAGCTGCTAATACTTCTCTTGCTTCAGTTTCTTCTTTCCCAAATCAATTGTCTGAGCTCCCTACAAAGCATGAGTGACAAAAATCTTGCTAGATTTTACCCACTTTCCAGATATCATTGTGGAGTGTATCAGAATACAATACAGGAGGCACCATTACTTCATAACTCAGGATGATTTAAGCCTATCTCAGTTATGGGCTGTGCCAGGATGAAAGCAATCTCATTAGAATGCAGCAGAAAAAAAGATATTACCAAGATATGGTAAGGTGCACATGGAGAGAGAGACTCATAGTTGCAATTTAGGAACACAAATTCAATATTCTAACAAACCTGAGCAAAATCTGATAGCCATAATGCTTAAAAGCAAGGGGACTCTGACTATCTTAACATGTATTTCTGTGTTCCTTGTTCTTAGATATACTAAGAACAAACACTTGGACTTGAAAGCATATCAAATGTATTTCAGAGAATGTTTTCCAAATAAATGTTCTCAGGAATACCATGTCAAAACTGAGTATTTGTGACTTCACCTATACGCTATTCTGATGTCCTTCAGGAAGATTTTAATGATCTGGCTCTTCCAACCGAACCTGGCCCCAGATTATTTGTGAATCCTGTGGTATGCTATGGGTTCTTACAATTTTGCATTCCTTCAGTTCGTTATCTATTATGTGCGTATGTTAGTGTTTCATTATGTTTCTCACTGATTATATATTCCCTGCAGAGTTAGATGACAATTAAATAACCTACAAAGCCAACTAATAAATAAATAAACCATTGTCAAAATCACTGGATTATCTTGCACCAGACAATACTCTCACATTCTAAACTACTTCATGTAACTGTTGTCAAGGTAAAATGGGATCACACCTCCCAGAATCATTTTGAGAAAATATTAACAAAATAAATTCTAAAGATCTATTTAGAACTACTTAGATTAGTTAGACTCAGTATGTTCTAAAAATGCATTTTTATTTGTCAAAGGAAAGCAACACAAAAGACCTATACTTGGAGAAAATTCTATCTGTCTCTTTCTAGTCATCTATCTATCTAGTGTACCAAAAAGAGGCCCCATAGACAATTTATTATATAAATTATATTAAATACTCAAATATTTTCTCCTGAACATATCCTAGTCATTTGATTCATGGCCTTTAAAAATTCCTAAGTAGAGCATTATTATTATTATTATTAATTTAATTTCATTTTAATGAAAAAGATTGCTAAAACATTGATCTATAGGATCTGACTTTTGGCTATCTGTCTGTCTGTCTGTCTGTCTGTCTGTCTATCCATTCTATCTTTGTTATTGTGACCCTCTGAAAACTTCACAGAAACTTAAATGGCAAGGTTCAGGAAAAAAGTTGGGCATAGTGTTCTGTTAACTATCCTACCTGCCTCATATATCTATGCAGGTATATTTTTGAAATGCAGATGTTCATAATCCACAATAAATTAAAAATTGATAGACATATATTCTATACACAAATACAAATAAATATGTTTACTTATTTATATATAAAGCAGATAAAACAAACAATCCCCCCCAAAAAAAGACTGATAAAATTTATACCATCTTATGGAACACGGCTGGTAACATGCATGAACTTCAATAAAAGGCTTTCAACCATTTGAAATGCAGCCACTTCACAGAATGCAAACTGTCTTCTAAAGAAGTTAAAATAAGTTTTGTGAAATAAGAAAAAGAGTGCCCCATTTTTTTTTATCTTCTCTTTATCTGACTGCTTCTATGTAACTTCTGGCATGTGTGATCTCAGCAGCAAGACCTGAGTGACCTTTTATTATCTCATTCATTCACCAGAGTTGTTGGTACCCTGATGCTTGAATCAATAACATTGCACTCCTGCTCTGGAAAAAGTGTTGGAGTTGCATCCCTGCACCTTATTTTTATTTTTTAAAAAAAGCAGTCACACACTACCAGCAGTTTATTTTTATCAACTGCTTACCCAGCAAAAAGTATTAAAGATATAATATAGTTTTAATTTTTATCACATGAGGATTGCATTTGATACAGGAGAGAATCAAATGTTTCTCTTCTGCTCAGAGGCGTAGCGTGGGGGGTGCAGGGGGGCTGGCCGCACCAGGCGCAACATCTGGGGGGGCGCGCTCGCACTCGCAGCTCTCTGCCCCTGCCTGGCTCACTCACTCTCTCTGCAGTGCTGGCTATGCGAATCCGATCCGAGTCGCCGACGCCGCCCACTGTGGAGGGGGGGTGCCTTGCCCCGGGTGCTGACAACCCACGCTACGCCACTGCTTCTGCTGACTTGGAAGAAGGAATCTTGTTTTGTTTTATCCTCAGAGCAAAATAGTCCTATTCAAAATCAGCCAAGCTGGGTACATTTCATCTCAATAAAGCTCAAAATGTAACTATTTTTGTTGTTTCAATCCTGAAATGAAACTATCTGAACAAACATGTTTTGTTTTGAACTTGCTTGAAAGCTGTTTCCTGTGACTCAGTTCTCAAAATGTCAGTATTTGAAATGGTCAGATTTTGTTCCAAAAGAGCATGGAATTCACACATCTCCTTTGAGCTTGGAACACCTTAAAGGCTTTGAGCTTAACACATTTTGAATGACTCTACAGAAGAATAAAGGTCTCATTATTCACAAGAGACACAGGTTTCTACCAAAGGTTTCTCCTTCTTTTCTTTCTTTAAAAAGAATGTGTCTCTAAGTGGTTCTTCCCTTTTCTCATCTCAGGTAAGATATGCAGAAGCTATAAATCTACTCACTTTTCCTTTTTAAAGTATATGAACTGTTATATACTTTAATGTCACAATTAAAGAGAAAAAATACTGGTCTGACAAGTGGTAAATACATGAAACAAGGGTTTTCATTATTATTATTATTATTATTATCATTATTATTATTATTATCATTATCATTATTGATCATCGCACAGTCAGCCAGATATTCAGACTGGATTTGGCATTTTTGTCTACCTATCGAGCCCTTACCAAGGACCTGGGATAGGCAGATGTGGATGTTTGATGGTATTACAGATATCGTTGCAGGATAGAAGCAGTTCCTAGTAAGGCCGCCTTTTGCAATTGACTAATAGCAAATTT